GCAGAATTAGAATGAATCTGCTAGAACGTGGAATAATATGCCGCCATATGTTTTGTCTTTTGTGCATGTGGTGAGTAGAGGCCCTTAGGGCCACTGCACGTATTCCTAAGAAAAGAAAAACAAGAAAACAAAAGAAAAATGAAAAACAAGAAAACAAAAGAAAAATGAGAGAACAAAGAATTAGTGACCCAGAACTGTGATCAGTGTGATGCACAGACCTGCATTCGAATCCAGACTATATATTCTCGGCCCACGCAGACGGACTAGAAGTCTAATGTCCATCTTTGCTTCACGAGGGGTCCTTGCTAATATGTAGGGGCCCTTCGGAAACGAGACTGGACGAATAGATTGGAGTATTTGTAAAAAAAAAAAAAAAAAAGGACATGCACCCACATGCACACGCATGTGCTCACAGTGTTGACGTATGGGGTGGCCCCATCTTTTTTCCCTCTTGCAGTTTGATTTTCGGAAGGGAGGGGCATGTTTGGCCACCCCACCCTGTTAAATGGGATCAATTTGTTATATATTTTTTCCTGTTTTTAGTGTTTGGGCGCGTAGGGCCACGTGTCTGAGGCCCAACGGGCCAATTCCGTTTTTCGGAATTCAACGGGACACCCCCATTTTTCCGTTAAACAGGATTCAACTGGGGTCCCTGGGGCCGTTAAACGCGTTCAACGGCGTTGAATTCCGTCCGTTCTCCGTTTATCGGATACACAGCCCGAGATGAGACAATCCAACAATGAACTAGTTTCACCTATAGCAAGCAACATGGAGCACAATAAATCCGTTTAAATAACTGTGTTTACTTTGGCTTTCTTTGGGGTACCCCTTTCATTTATTCTTGCAGCTCCTCTTTTACTACGCCTCTCACGCAAAAGGCTGACAACATTGATTGTGGTTGAGCGCCATCTGCCCACATCCCCGTCTGCCTCAATGGCACACTTGCACATTATGAAAGGTGATACGGGTAAAACGTGAGGTATACTCCTGTTCATTTTAGTTCAGAGCTTCACCTTATATTTTGTCTGTTCTCTTAATGACGCTCAGCCATATAGATTTACTACTAGCACACAAGGGAAGGGGGGAAGGAAAGGGGTAGGAGGCGGATTTCTATAGCGAGTGAGGGGCAGAGGAGGGGAAGAAAACGGTAGGAGAGGAAGTGGAGTAGGAAAGGACAGGACAAAGATATGACTAACTTGATAGGGTTCTGCAATCAGACTCACTTTCATTCACACTTTCATATGCATGCAAACAGGTTGCGCAGCAAACTGGCGACAAGCGCCCACTCAAAACTCATGGTAACCAAGAGCACAGTTCAGATACAATCTCACTTCAGATGGCTATGGCGCATCAGCGCCTATACAAATCTCTGTTTGTCACTCACACAACGCTGCTGTTCACACACAGGATCACCCTGGATATCCCACACGCGTCACGCTGTACAAGCACACACACACACACATGTTACTCCCTTCTAACAGCTATGGCGGCGATGGCCGCTGCTATCCCTATCGCTATGGCTAAGCTCCTTCTCGCCCTCTTCGTCCTCGGGCTCACTGCAGACCACCTCGCACAAGTCGCTATGGTAGCGCTTCCGCATGGCTTACGCAGGAATGGATGAATGGCCGGGCGCTGCCTCTTGATTTATACTTTTGTAACTCGCTGGTCTGCCCTTTTCCATCGGCCCATGGTGCACACAGTCCCTCATGGTACTTGTTGGACTGGACTCGAACTGACTGGACCGGGACCGTTGACTGCATGGGTTTGCACCGCAGACTCACTGCAGTCCCACTGCCAACGTACTGGGGTTGGCTCCACCACTTGCCCACTTGCCTCTGCCTAAACGTGAGCCCACTCCGAAAGGCCACTTCCGGGACCTTCCGAAAGTGTGTGCACTTGGCCTTTCAGGTACTGTAGCAGCTACGACCTTGACCTTTCAGGGCTGTAGCAGCTATGACCTTGACCTTTCAGTAGATCTATAGCTACGACCTCTATAGAGTTGTGACTCCTACTTGACAGATCTACAGATCGAATCCCTACCACTACACAGACCTACGATAGACAACAACAACTGTCAAAACACAGGTCACGGGTTCAAACACTCGAGGTTGACACAAATACTGTACACAGGTAAGGTGAGGACTAGGGATCGAGCCCTGGGATCTGCATTCGCTACTGCTAATAGGTAAAAACCATTTCACTCCCGCCGGCCTAAATTCGAGGTCCTCCGGGAATAACTCAGTCCAAGGCAGGACCTTTACCTTTCTTATCTCTCTTGTAGGCTCTAACTACGTCGGGAGCTGTTTCTAGAAGTTCGGTTCTAGTAAACCAGTGGTCGTGTTCTGGCTCCTGATAAGCAAATCGAACCTTGTACTGCTTCTGCGGACGATCTCTACCTCCTGTTCTGAACACGTCTTCACCTACAATGCCGTCAATGTCGTATCTTTCGTCCACGTCTGGAGGAATCATGGATCTCCTAGATGAAAATTGTTGACTTGTGACACACGGCAACGACTTTGAGGCATGAAACACAGGGTAGGTGTGGAGGTGTGCTGGGATCTCCATTGTGTAGGACAACCCATCGTCTCCGCCCTTAACTTCTGGAACTGGTCACGGTCCTCTATATGCGGGCAGTAACTTTTGCGAGATGTTTTCCTCAAGAGCAAACTCTTTAGACTTGACCCAGACCAGGTCGCCTACTTGAAACTGTGACGGGCGACGGTGCTTATTGGCTTGTTCTATCATTCGGTGCTGGGCCTTCCTGAGGTTCTCTACCACGGTAGTTCTCTTTCTCGTGCTGTAACGCAAACTCTCTAGTACCGGGCGGTAGCCTGTGAATCTGATCCCGGTTAAGTCCCTCAAACGGTCTGCGTGGTCTAAAGGACTTGTGCAATTCGTTGGGAGTGCGACATGTAGACAAGTGCACGCTGTTATTGTACGACACTGGCTACTTTGGGCAACATCTCATCCCAATTGATCTGATCCGGTCTAATGTACACAAAACTTGTTGCAGGGTCTTATTCATCTGCTCAGTCTGACCGTTAGTCCCTGGATGATGGCCAGATGACATCAACAGCTTGGAGCCATAGACTCTCATCAACTCCTGCCAGTTCTGACTAGTGAACCGGGGGTCTCTATCACTAACTATAGACAGTGGAATCCCGTGTTCGCTGACCCAATGATCAAAAAACTTCTGAACAACTAATTTTGTGCGTGCCTCTGAAGATAAAGGAGCAAAAACAGCATACTTACTGAATCTATCAACTATTACCATGACTTGGCTCTTGCCGTGCCTACTCTTGACATGGGTGTCCATAAAGTCAATGGACACTGAATCCCCTGGCTGATCAGGAATAGGCAAGGGTCTGAGAAGACCTAGAGGGGCACGCATAGAGGTCTTATTTCTCCGGCAGACCTTACAACTGCGAACATACTCGATGCAGTCGGCCTTCATCCCATGCCATATGTACGCGCGCATGAGGTTAGCTAGAGTCTTTTGCCAACCAAAATGTCCCTCAGTATCGTGGCATTCCCCTAGGATCAAACTATGGATCTCCTCACTGTTAGGAACGCACAATCGGTCAACTATGTTAGCCTTGTCGAATAGTAGTCCATCAGTAGTGCGGTAGTCTAGTTCGGACTGTGGGGCCTCCTTGAGTCTCTTGAGGAGGTCACCATAGATAGAGTCCTGCGCATACGCCTCTTCAACTTTCTGTTGCAGGTCTCTCCCTATATCCAAATAATGAACCATCGCTCCAGAGTAGTCAGCTCTCCTACTCAGAGCGTCCGCAACTACATTATACTTCCCTTTGACTGGCTTCAGCTCAAAGTCATATTGATCTAGCTCTGCAGCCCACCTAGTAAGCTTAGGTGTCATCTTGGCCTGAGTCTTCAACCACCTTAATGTCTCGTGGTCTGAGTAAACTTTGAAGTGCCTCCCAAGCAAGTAGTGTTTCCAATGTTCTAATGCTTGCCTGAGAGCGTAGAGTTCCCTCTCGTAGGTGGATGTCGCTACCTTCTCTGAAGGCATCCTAGCCGACAAACTCTATGGGTCTATATCCATTGCCATCGTCTTGCTGTAATACAACACCTATACCATACTGGCTCGCGTCAGTAGTGACAACGAAAGGTAAGGACGGATCGGCTACCTTAAGGACTGGGTACTCTATCAACGCTTGCTTCAACTTCTTCATGACAGACGTTCAGTCCTTATCCCACTTCCAGATTGTTTCTTTCTTCAGCAACCTGCGAAGGGGAGCAACGATGGTGGAGAAGTTCCTCACAAACTTCCTGTAATAATTAGCTAAGCCTAAGAACTACCGCAACTCTCTCAACGTGCGGGGTGTAAGCCAACCTCTAATCGCTGCAATTTTACTATCTTCTGGTTTGATGCCGTCTCCATCTAAGACATGGCCTAAGTACAAAACTTGGGTCTTTCCCCATTGGCACTTCTTTGCGTTGATCTTGAAGTTAGCCTCTCCGAGCTTCTCCAAGACCTGCCTTAGATGACCATGCTCCTGGAGGGTCCTACTGAACACTAGAATGCCATCTAAGTCGACTACTACAAACCTGTCCAACCACGGCCTAAACAAGTCATTCATACAACGCTGAAAAGTTGTTGGCGCGTTGGCTAGTCCAAAGGGCATAACTATAAACTCGTAGTGCCCATATCTAATCCGGAACGCGGTCTTATACTGATCATCAGGATGGACCTCTATCTGATGATATCCGGACTTCAAGTCTATCTTCGAAAAATACTTGCAACCCTGCACCCGATCTCAAAGATCATTTATACGGGGCAGTGACTCCACATTCTTCACTGTGATAGCATTGAGACCGCTATAGTCAATGCACATCCTAAGCTCTCCCTCCTTCTTGGGGAAAAATAGAACAGGTGCTCCAAATGGAGACGAACTGCGCCTAATCCAACCCTTCTCTAGGAGTTCATCTAACTGCTTGAGCAACTACTCCAATTCCCGCGGGGACATCCTATACACCGCTCCTTTAGGAGTTCTACTGCCAAGCTCTATCTCAATACGATGCTGGATGGGCCGCGGGACTACTCCCGTAGGCGGCTTCGCTAAGTCTACATACTCTTCCAGCAACTTCGCAATAGCGGGATCTATGGGTTTTTCTTCTTTAGGCTCAGTAATTGGCCTGACATAGGCTACAAAGACCTGTTCTTCTAGCTGCTCCTTCTTCACTAACCTTGCGAACGTAGGAGCGCTAAGGAAGCAATGTGCCAGGGAGTTGTCTACTCCGAACACATGAAACAGACGGGTAGTCTTGACCCCGCCTGATGGACTAGGGAGCCTACACTCATGCCCTCTCAAATGGAATGTGGCCCGACTGCCTCTCCCCAGTCCATTCCTATGACCATGTCAAAAGGAAGGTTGTCCTCTATAAGGAGAGTCAGGGAACGAAGAACTTTCTCCACCTTCCCATCTTGCTTTAGGTGAAAGTACGCCTGGACTCCCTCTACGTAATCCTCTACTCACATTGTGCGATTGTCTGCGAGGATACTCACTATGGGGTCTACTAACTTTTGGACTTTTAGCCCCAACTTTAACTTCTGCAGCGCGTTTCTACTGATATAGCTGCGTGTGGCCCCACTAGCTACTAGGACCCTTACTCTACCTCCGAAAATCTCTACATCTACTAAAACTAGTTGTCCTCTACTCTCCTTCTTCATCTTGGCCCAGACAGTCATTCTCTCCTTTAACTCATCGGCCACGCCTGGGAGGGAAGTGCCTAGAGAGACCCTAACACAAGCGGTCCTTGGACAACTATCTAGGCACCGGCCTGCAACTTCTGCCATAGGCACATGTGGTGTGGGAGTTTCTTGTCGGCTCGCGCTCGTTTCCCCACATGGCCTTATGGTAGGGGCAGTTGCTACCCCTACCGGCGGCTGCCTTTTGACCCCTGGGCAGCCCATCGGGCCTCTCTGTACTTTGGTCAGTATTTGATGATATGACCAGGGTCACCGCAATATATGCACTGCCCCTGGTCCACACGTTGTTGCCAAACGCGTTGGTCCAGGCCCAAATCTTCCCAAGGACGGTCCTGTGGCAAACCTGGGAGCCAACCACTTCTCCTATAGGGTGACGTATTACCCCTATTAGGCGACCTATTCCCTGGACGATTTTGCGGGTAACCTTGACCCCTTCCTCCCGCTTGGCGGTTTCCTCCTCTACCACCAACCCCCTGATCGCCCTGGGAACAACCCCCCAAGGCCCGACCCCCTTGGCCCTGGCCTCTACCTCCTCCTTGCGGCCTCCCTCCGCCCGCGACAGCAACGTAAGTCCTCCCCTGGCTAACGCCACTGTCCTCCTCCTCTAGTCCCCACTCAATCTGCTCGTAGCGGACTTCGTTGACACCACCCTCATCTAACATAAGGATCAAACGATACTTGGTCTTGACCTGACCCGAGATGGTGCGACCCTTCCACTTTTTGCCCTTATCTAGGTCCTTATGCCAAAAAGTGGAAATTGACATGGACCTCGCTTCGAACGCCACCACTTCCGTGCTCAATGCGTCATAGGTCATGGTGGGCTGCTGGCTCTTCTCAAAGAAGTGACCTCGTAATTGTTCGGGCATCGCCCGGTAGAAGAGGTTGACCAGCTGGGTCTCAGTAACCCCATGGTCAGGAACGGCTACCAACTCATCCATCACACCTTTGAGTGCCCTAGCACTCTTCGACTGCTGAGAGTGAATGGTTTGCAGTCGATCGGAGGCTTTGACACTGCGCGAGACATTTGCAAATCTAACGCAATAACTTAAGGAAATCATTGACGGGAGTGAACGCAGAGTAGGCGACTAAATCATCATTGCAGTTGGTTGCGCGGCACAGGGACCTAGCAAAACTGGCTGCCTCCTCCCTCAGGGCGTGAATGGCTATTAGGACGTGCTCATCCGGGGAGACTTTCTGTAGGTGCACGTATGTTTTGATATTGGCTTCCCAATTATCAAAATCTTCTTCTTTCTTCCCGCTATAAGAATTCGGGAACTTGATCTTGACCGGCTCCCTACGGGGACGTGCTTCCTCCTCCTTGGGAGCAGTAAATCTGGCGCATTCTATGGCGCCCGTACAATAACGTTCCGTGCCCTCTAGGTGGGCCCTCACCTCTGAGCCCATCTGCGTCGCCAATTCCCTGGCGAAGTCCCGAAGTCCCGACCGTATAGAGCGTAAGGCAATGTCCTGACCTCTACCAAACAAATATTGTTCTTGTTGGACATGTGTCAGACGCTCTGTATTTCTCGCCATTATCTCCATCTTCCCCAATAGGACCACCCGCGTCGCCATCTGCTCTCTTGCTTCTTTACCTCCGCTAATTCTTTCGCCGCCTGGCTCGCCGCCTCCATTTTTCTTTTCCTCTCCCTCGTCAATCGAAACTTCCATTCCATCCTCTTCTCATCCTCTATCGCCTTGAGTGGGTCTTCTTTTGCATCCCACTCTTTCATGGCGGCCTCTTGTTCTTCCCTGGGCACATACATCAGTGCCTCCTCTTCTTCCCCCAGGGATAAACCAGCAACCCACTCTGTAATTTTCTTCTCCATCTGATCTTCTTTTGTACCACTGGATTCACCTCTTCCTCCTGCCCTTTGTCTTTCCAGTGGCTGTTCTTCTACCTCTTCCTCCTCTTCTATCGCTTTGAGCTTCTCTTCTTCTTCTCTCTTTAACCTCTCTTTTTCTTTGGCCATCTCCTCCTCAATCTTCTTCAACTTCGCCGCCTCGTCTTCTATCAAGGCCTTCTTCTTGGCCTCCTTCTCCCTTCTTTCTTTCAGGATGGCGGCGGCCTTCGCATCCTGCTCTGCTGTGTAAGGGGAGGTGCTCGTTCCTGTACGCGTGTCAACCATGGTGATAGGCACACAACCAAATAACGTTTCCACTCCTCACCACTTAGACTCTCCAACTGACTCAACTTAAGACTGACTCAATCTATGGACCACAGGGTTCGTAGAGAGCCTTGTCAACTATAGTCTCTACCCTAAACTCTAATCACTACAGTCGTCAGTACAGAGCATGTTGCTGACCAGGAGGCATTTAAGGAGATCCCCCGTAACTCCTCATGAATTCTTTAACATCGCAGACAAGACGACACGGTCAGCAGGTTCTCTCAAGACTTAGACGGCCCGTTGTGCAGCCCACAACTCGGATTTTGGGCCTACCGTGCCACACCGAGCAGCCCGCCGGTCAGTATCGGTCCTTGGGAGGGTTCGTGTCCTCCGAGACAGTCGAGTCGTCAGACACAGTCTTTAGAGTATCACCCCGTGTAGGTTTGGTCAACGAGGCCCTATCCTTCATACACGGAGTCCTATCACCTGGACAGAAGAGACTCAATGCAGAAAGAAGAGAGAGACAAACTCAGACTCAACAAGTACCATAGGGTGAGTGCACATCCATACGGTGAGGGGATAGGCTAAGGGCTTGGCGAGATTTTACCAACTCAAGCTTGGTAAAAATCGTGGTCAACAGCTCCGGTCAACACCGTGGGCAGCGCTTGGTCAACGCGATCGAGCCCCGATCAACGCTCTTGTCAACCCTTCGGTCAATGCCCGATCAACCCTTGGTCAACACCCGATCAACCTCCAAGTCGGCTATGGCTGCCGGCACCTTCGTTCTCGCCAACCTCCCTTCTCTTCTTCCTCCACCTTTCTTCTCGCCGTTTCTTTTTCCCTTTTTTTTTTTTTTTTTCACCCTCAGCTATGTCTGTCTTCAACTTCGCGGTCCCTCTTTCCTTCTTCCTCTCCTGTCTCTCCTCCCTTCTCTACTTCACCTTCCTCTCTCCTCCGTGTCCCAAGCTCCACGGCTATGGCCGCTACTTCGTCTTGGACCGCACAACCAATCTCGTATCACTCAACTCCCTCTCTCTGTGGTGATGTCTTTAGTGCAGGTGCGTAGCGAACCAATCTTGTATGGCTCAACTCTCTCTCTCTCTCTCTCTCTCTCTCTCTCTCTCTCTCTCTCTCTCTCTCTCTCTCTCTCCTCTTCGTCGTTGTCTTCTGTGCAGGTACGCGTCACTTCCTTCCGCAGCGGAGATATGGCGGACATCTTCTTCATGGTGGCGTTCTTCAACTATGGCGCCCTACAACGCGCGTCTCTCTCCTGCTACAACGATGAGGGCACATGGGATAGAGGGTACCAGCTCCGATACCAGTGCAATCAGACTCGCTTTCATTCACACTTTCATATGCATGCAAACAGGTTGTGCAACAAACTGGCGACAAGCGCCCACTCAAATCTCATAGATATGGTAGCCAAGAGCACAGTCCAGATACAATCTCACTTCAGATGGCTATGGCGCATCAGCACCTATACAAATCTTTGTTCATCACTCACACAACGCTGCTGTTCACACACCGGATCACCCTGGATATCCCACACGCGTCACGCTGTACACGCACACACACACACATGCGACTCCCTTCTAACAGCTATGGCGGCGATGGCCGCTGCTATCCCTATCGCTATGGCTAAGCTCCTTCTCGCCCTCTTCGTCCTTGGGCTCACTGCAGACCACCTCGCACAAGTTGCTATGGCAGCACTTCCAAATGGCTTACGCAGGAATGAATGAATGGCTGGGCGCTGCCTCTTGATTTATACTTCTGTAACTCGCTGGTCTGCCCTTTTCCATCGGCCCATGGTGCACACAGTCCCTCATGGTACTTGCTGGACTGGACTGGGACTGACTGGACCGGGACCGTTGACTGCATGGGTTTGCACCGCAGACTCACTGCAGTCGCACTGCCAACGTGCTGAGGTTGGCTCCACCACTTTCCCACTTGCCTCTGCCTAAACGTGAGCCCACTCCGAACGGCCACTTCCGGGACCTTCCGGAAGTCTGTGAACTTGGCCTTTCGGGTACTGTAGCAGCTACGACCTTGACCTTTCAAGGCTGTAGCAGCTACGACCTTGACCTTTCAGTAGATCTATAGCTACGACCTCTACAGAGCTGTGACTCCTACTTGACAGATCTACAGATCGAACCCCTACCACTACACAGACCTAAGATAGACAACAACAACTGTCAAAACACAGGTCACGGGTTCAAACACTCGAGGTTGACACAGATACTGTACACAGGTAAGGTGAGGACTAGGGATCGAGCCCTGGGATCTGCATTCGCTACTGCTAACAGGTGAAAACCGTTTCAGTTCTAAGTACTCACAGTTGGAGCAGACTTCTCTAGAGTGGCACAAGAGCCCACTCAGGCCAGTCAGTGTTTGGGTTTTGCAGAAGATTTTGAATCGAGGAGCGGCCGTTGCCAATGGTAAGCGCGTGTGTAACTGTGTGTGTGTGTGTGTGTGTGTGTGT